TCTCTATTGTAGATATGAATATTATCTGTCAGTTTTAAAGATCCATGTTGTATCTAGTAAGACAGTTCTGGAGCTGATACATGGGTAGATAGCTCAGGTATAATTTTATCTAGAAAGTTTAATGACAAAGTTCTTGCATTTCATCCCAGTGCTGCAACTGATGTTCCATGAGTACAGACAGACTCCTGGTAAATAGACACCACTGCCAAAAGGTTTGAGTGCAAGCATAGTTTCAGGTCAGAAAGCTTCTGTTCCCAAGGAAAGAGTTTAATTCAGTACTGCAGGTAGCTCTGCCATTGTGTCAGGCAAGCCTGTGTTTCAGTGTGTATAAGTTGGTAAATAGATGTGGAAATAAGAATAGAGTGGGTTTTTTTTTGTTTCACATTAAAAAAACCCACATGTTTAGAAATGTGTGGATACTTTGAACTATCTAGGAAGATCTCCTAATCTCCCAGTTAGTTTTTTGCACTTTAAGAGAGCTACCAAATTGACACAGAAGTGATTGTCAGTATTAATTTACAACTTATATTCGTAGCAATGTCTTCCGCTCAGACAAGAATAATCCCTCCTTTATATTCATAGCAATGTCTTCCGCTCAGACAAGAATAATCCCTCCTTAGAAATTTTATTTTGTGGACTATGGAATAATTTTCATCTGGCAAAATACTCAGAAATTTTGTCAATACAAAGCCCTGAGGGACCCACTCACATGTATAAAGAGGTAACTGATATATATGAACAGGAGATACATCCCAAATCCACAAGGACTCTTGAAGTAATCCATCAGTAATTACAGTATAGGTTTGTAAGGTGAATTAGATTTCCTCACTAATTGTTTAAATTCGAATTATAAAATTTGGGACAATTGTGATTCCCAAGCAAAATGAGACTCTCATAGTTTTCTATATTTCTTCAGTCAGTCACTTTTTCCACTAGAACTTTTCATCCCTTTAATTTTAATGAAAGTAGGCAGCTGGTTGGAAAGACAAATTTCTAGCAGTGTTCTCACCGATGGAAGGGCTTACAGCCCGTACTAGATGTTAGAGGATCTAGTGGAAGGAAGTGCTTTAGAACCAGGCTGGTAATTGAGCTTTCTCATAGTTTATACATTTATAGATTTAATCTCAATTTGGTAAATTGCCAAATTGTAGTTGGTCCAAATCCTCAGCATCCAACATCAAATAATGGTAAGAATATGCCAAATAATTACATTTGGTGTGAGATCTTGTAGGCAAGATATTCTACAGCTTCTAGTACACCACTGGAGGAAGAAGTAATCCATGAAAGAAATTATTATTCATGTCTAAAACATATGTATAAAGCTGAGTGACAAATCCTACAGCTATTATCAAAATGCCAGAAGACAGCAAAATCCTCATCTAAAGCTTAATATAATTTGGTGTTATCCCATGGTGATAACTCTGCTCAGAGAGCTGTCTGAGTTTGACGCAGAGAGAGTGAAACACTGACATTCCAATCAGCCTTCCAACATGTACAAACCAAGGACTTATTTAAAAAGAAGAGAACAGGGAATTATGGGATGAAGTTCCCAGACTACAAAATCTTCCCTAGAATACTGACTTTCTAGTGAAGGTGGCCTTGAGATCTTCTTCTAGTAGCAGCATGGAGGGGCAATAAAGACTGAAATCAAATATATAAGCTCTTGGTAGGTTTTTCTTCTTTTACTGCCATCCACAGATCGTTTTGGTATGCTCCTCAATATTTATGAGCTTTAAGATTTCGTATGCTCAAAGTAGTCTTTTTGGAATGAAGCCTTAAGTGACTAACTGCCTGTAAACAAAAGATTTATGTGTCCTTCCAGAGCTGATCAACATTCCTATGGAAGGAAGTCAGTGAGCATGTATTATTAAAATCAAGGAGATGGTGGTAACAGATGTGAATTTTCAGTCTGTTAAGGTTTGATACAGCTGTGGCAATTCTGACATGCTAGTTTTATCTCCTGATTACTGACTTTTCTGTATTTTAAACAGAAATTACTCCCTCAAAGCTTGGTTTGAAACTACAGAAATATAGTTTAATGCTAAGTACTGTCAAGTGAAAAGAAGTTTGTTGGTTTCTTTTTTTTTTCCCCCCCAAGTTTTAGCCTTCCCTTTGGTACTCTGGAGATGCTACTATTTATTGGCCTGGAGTGTAATTGCTTAGGATGCAGCAATACACAGGTAGCTGAGCCCTGCTCTCTGTTGTTGGCCCCAGTGTTACACTAGTAATTTCCCAGCCAAAATAGAATTATGTGCTTCTGGGAAAGCTGCCTTTGACTCTGGATGTTTACAGAGGGTTTTTTTACTCTCTGCATGCCTGTACAAGAAACCATGTTTCTCCCAAGGAAGTGAACTAAAACCAACAAGGCCAGTACAGCTGCAAGTCTGTCAAGAGCTGTCTGGATAGGGTGTCTGCACTCATCAAATTGCATTAATTGTGAAGTTACATGTTGCCTTTCATGTTATGAAAACAGCAAATGGTACTTCTAACTATAATTATTTTTTGTAGAAGGATATTCTGGTGTACTAGCCCTTTCAGGCAAAGATGTTGTTTTACATCATCCAAACCAGACCCTAGGGGTCTGCTCTGGACTGTTGTTGAATAAAATTAGCTCTGCCTTTATCTGATGAAAAAAGGAATTAGCCCGCTTCTGAATGGTTAGCACAGATTGGAGTAACTGCAGTTTTGGGAGAGGGATGGTTTCTGGCTTCCTTGTGGGGTTTACAGAGCCATCGGGGTTTATTATGGCCACACTTTCCCATCTGAATCTGTTTGCTTTTTATCCTGCAATCACACCAGGACTAAGCTGCATGAATCAGGAGGAGTGAAAAGTCACCTTTGATGTTTCCATCATTTGGCAAATGTTGGCATGTTTAAGGAAGGTGGTTGCTGTTGGAATGGGAAGGGAGAAGGAGTGAGGCACTCTGGCTGTAGTGGCAGAGGATGAAAACACAACATCTGTCACATCTGAGAGTACTCTGAAGGTGACCTGCAGATGCACTATTTTTATAAGTAGTTAGGAAATTTTCATCACGAAACGTTTCAAAGCAAAATTTATACCAACATGTATTTCTTCAGTGAAGGCAGATCCTATGAATGGTTTGGGCTTCTGTTGAGCAAGGGAGAAGTTGATTACAAAATGACTAAGAATTAACATATTAATTAAAACTAGTCACCTCTGTAATTGTCTACATAATCCAATAATTCACGTAAATGAAAACCACTAAGAATGCTGAGTGAGTGTTCCACCTGGCAATTCTATGATAAATAACTATTTGCACAGGAATATTGAAGTCAAATTCTTTCAGCGGGCAACCGGAATAATATGGAAGTGTCCCAATTAGAACTTGTAATGTCCACAATGCATTAAACTGAGGAAGATTTAAATATGTCAGTTTTAAGTTTGGAGGAAAGCATACTAGAAAGAGTTCTTGTCACACAAAACCAAATTTGCAATTTTATACAAGCCAAGAGATAGACTAAAGTGATTTGATAGGTTTAATAAGGGTTTCTCTGGTCAGAGTAGCTCTTAAATATAAATCTGAAATTTAAAAGTATGTAACTTTAAGTGACATAATAAAATTTAATATTAGGCCTTTATTTGAACATGCTAATTCACATGCTAGTTCAGATGATATCCATTTTATGTAATGTAATTTACCTCTAAACAAGGCTGAATGAAGCTGAATGCAGGCTATTCTCATCTCTAATAAACATGTCCAATAATAGTCTCCACCTAATTTTAAAAGAATTTCAGATTAACTGTAGTGAGTGACTCTTTCTGTAGAGAGGTTCCTCCTTCCCCAACAGTTTGTATCTACAGTGTTAATAATTTCCTTGTCAGAAAAATTAGTCATGTTGCTAACTTTCAAAATAAAATTGTCAAATTATTTAGTGATGGTGTAATGAGATTACCTGTTTAAGCAAATAGAGGTATTTTTTCAGTTGGTAATTTAAGCTTTAAGTTTTAATTTATTAGTGGTAGTGGGACTGTAATAACTGCATGTTATTATTTCCTAATATTGCTGACCAGTCATGCTAGTATGGCATGCAGAAAAACTGAAAAAACCTAGCAGAAAATTAAAAGGAAATTTAAATGTATCAATTTCAAAAAAGATTAAAGTATTTTCCCTGCTTCTCGTATTAAGATTGTTACATTTATGTATGTGTTCATTCATGCTTTTCAGAACGTCTTTTGAAAATGGCAAGTATTTTCTGAATAGCTTAGCCTGGAAAACTTTAGCTGTTAAGAATTAAGAACAAGTAACTTGAAATAGTGTTAAAATGATAGCCTGCCTGTGATAGAAATAAATTTCATGTCTGGAAGCCAAGTGCTTCCATTCCCATTGTGTATTTTCAGGATGCATAGTGATATGGAATTCTGTGGTATCATACCTGCAAAGCAGAGCAGTTTTTATTTTGTATGAAGGGTCTCTTCTGGGCCTGTGGTCTGATCCCTCAAAGTCAGCAGGGCCACTTGGTGAGCTTGCCCTGTTTACAAGCATCCCAGAAATTTAATCTTAGCTCAGATACAAAGTCAGATGTTTATAGCACATTTTGGTACCATGTAGTACCATGTCCTAGCCTAGGTAGGTCAGCTGTGCCATGACCTGCGCAGGCAGCTGCAATTCCTAATATCCCCTTCCAAAGGCCCCATTCTGAGCTATGGGTGGCACAGGACCCTTGGGGTGCTGGCAGTACAACATCACTGTGGCCATACAGGCATCAGGTTGCCTGAAAACAAGTGCCTGTGGGGTGACAAAGAAAGCTTTCCATACCACTGTCTGAGGCTGTGTTTTCTCTCTGTCGTCATTTCCTCAAGCTCCTTAGCAAACAGCCCAGTGTGCTGCTGTGTTTTCATCTCAGTGTGGTGTACTGCCACTTGAAGGTGGTCATCTCATTTCAAACAGACATGGGCAGACTGTCCCCTGTATTGTTCAAAATACATCTTGTTTTTGCTTTCTGAGCTGATCAAATTATTGCATTTGTTTTCTCTGCAGATGAAGTTTTGCCCCATCCACATGCTTTCTGTAAGAATCATACAAGCTAAGAACATCAAGTCAAGAGACCTGTGTGAGTTGTGGTTTGATTGTGTTTTTAGTCACCTGCAGAGTTTACACAGTGAGCAATATTCTTTAGTTCCGAAGGTATGCAAGCAACGGACGCAAAGCTCAGCAATATAAATACTAATGCCAGGGCTGTAATTAGATCAAATGTCTCAGGTATCATTAGATTGGAGTACATCTCTAGTGGCATTTCAGGGAACTGGTGAAAAACAAGACACCCAGATTAATTTTTTGGGCCAAGAAGGGAAGGTAGACTTCATTAGGACACTGCAATCTATGAATCTCCATGGGCAGGAATTTTGCCATGCAGGCTGTGAATTTAGGGACCTTTTGTTGAAATGTACCAATTATACACAATAATCAAAGATAAATTAGAGAATTTCAAGCCTTCTAAAATACTTTATCTTTCAGGGTATTTGTTGACCAGTCACAATAAACTGTATTGATAGTTTTGTTTAAGGAGGACCTCTGCAGATCCAGTTCTAAGCCCATGCTGAGCATGCAGGCAAAGCAGACTTTGCTGTGTACTTTTCTGTTCAAGTGTCTTTAACTCATTATCTCCCCTTCACAGCCTCCTATGCTTCCTTCTCCAGGTGTGCTGTGGACCAGCTATTCAGCTGCCATTTTTGCAGAGGTCTCCAATGAGTTCCTCAGTTAGAGCAGAGGCATTGAGCTGCCTTTTGTCAGTTTTGTAACTTCTGGCCTCTGTATTCCTCTAGTGAAAAATGACTCAGCAAAAAAAAAAAAAAAAAGAAAAAGCATCACTTTGCAAAGATTTACTCGAGTTACAGCTGAGACCATCCATGCCTTGCCATGTAGGACCAAGCCTGGATGTGAGGGAGACCAGAGGGAGTGAATCCCCTGTTGGTTGAATAGCTGCCTGCCAAAGACTTCCTGTGCTCCAGTGGCAAGTGCCACGTAGCATCATCCAGAGGTGGACACTAGAAAGGTGTTAGTGTGACAAGGCCTGTATTTCTGAGTTTCAATGATCTCTTCTATCTACTCTATTGAAGGGACAGTTCCACTTTCGTGCCAAAACCTTGCGGGGCAATGTTATTCACTGCTTGATACCAGTCTGAAGTATTTAGGCATCTCGGGCTGCAGTGGAAATCTTCCGTCAAGTCCTGACTCCAGCTCTGAAAGACATCACCTGGGAGATTTCCTTTCACACCGTTGCCAAGCCTCACAAAGTAAATGCGCTTCCCCACCCTGGCTCTCCCCAAAGGATGGCTGCTCGAGGCACTGCCTGCACTAACCATAAGGAATAGATATAGGATGGAAGTGAAATGAAGATTTCCAACTTGCTTGTGCCCTCCAGTTCTTGGGCCCATGCTGGCCTTGAGCTGCAACAGATCATCTTGCCTAGTGCCTAACACCTCTAGACAGCCATTATGTCCCCTCCGCATGCTTGTGTGACTCAGCTGAGCAAGCCAGACTCTGATCTTGCTGTAATGTGCATTCTTCTTTCCTGTAATCATCCTAACAGCCCTTTGTGGAACCAGCTGTAGTTTCAGTTTAACTTTTTAACATCATGAACTGGAATTGTAAGGACTATGCCTGAGGAATGGTCAGTGGGCATAGTCCACTTTCCTCTTTCTCTTCACATGGGAATCGTGGTTCTTAGTGTACCTTGTGTGTGCATGTGTACATTTGCAGTTTGTAGTTACTCAGTAATTAGATGGTTTTCCTTGGTTGTTTCCAAATGGTGATCTCTTTACTAATTAAAAAAAAAAAGTAGTAACATTTATTAATCTCCAGGATTATGGCCTAGCCCTACTGTTCCTCTATAACATTGGCATCAGGTTTTTAATTTTTTTCTGCTGCAGTGACGGCATCAGACTGCTATGTACGCTTGTGGCTGCCGTCTGCTTCACCTGGAAAGCTTCAGACCAAAACCATCAGGAATTCTGACAACCCTGTCTGGAATGAGACTTTCTACTTTAGGATCCAGAGAGAAGTTGAGGTAGTAAAAAAATAGAATTTTGTCCAATTTGAATAGCTCAGAATCCTCAGTAGACACTATGTTGATTCTCTGTGCTAAATAACTTAAGAAAACGCTTGCTTAACAGACTGGTTTGCGCAGAACAGTAGACATAAGAAGCAGTACTTTGCTCAGCTATTTACAGACATTGCTGATATAAATGCCTGTATCTAAGCTAGTCCAGACTCCCTTTGTTGTCACCTGAGTAAAATAAGCACTACTGTAGCATACCTCGGTGCTACATTGGCATGGCTAACTTTGAAAGAGCTTTCTCTCCACTGGTTCTAAGGGAAGAGTAGAGAAGTTGCTGTGGAGAAGACAGTAAATTTAATCCTTCCCTAAATTGCGGAATTTGGAGAACTTTGGGAATGAAGAAACTAAGTCTGTTCTTTGGGTGGGTTATCAGTGGGGTGCAGAGCACTGGCATCTTGTCTGTCTCAGGAGAGCGGGAACCTCTGTTATGGGTAGTTGTTTTCCGTTTCACAGGTTTCCCAAGACTGGGTGTAATAATGTTCTACATTAGCAGACTACTGAAGAAAAGGACATGCTTTTTTATTCTTACTGCTCGGCTAGTGAAACAGTTGCAAAAATAATTTATAATAATTTTTTTCTATAATATTTTTTTTTGTTTCTGCCTAACAGAACCTCAATAAGTGTTCTTACTTATTTTTTTTATTACCAGAATATTTTAGAATTGGCAGTGTGTGATGAAGATGCACTCACCAAAGATGACATGCAGTTCACAGTTCTTTTTAATCTTGCTAGAATCAGACCTGGGGAGACAATCCGCGAGACTTTTGCTTTGAAACCAGAGGTAAGGGCTGAAAACACAGGGAGAGATTGACAAGACCTCATTTGTCTACATTGTCTTCCATGTTAGGTGGGGTTTGGATCTTCATGAACAGGTAGCCTTATATATCATTATCAATACCTCATCAAAGCAGATATAGTTTTGCTTTATTTTTGTGTCTTCATGCATTTCTTTTTACAAATTCAGAAAATGAAGACGCTTCTGTCTCATGCTATCTGAGGGCAACATATTTTAACAAGAAGCATCTGTAAATAATAACTTTGTATCTTTTAGAATCTGAAGAAATACTTGCTTACCTTTCAGCTTTATCCCACTTTTGCCATGCTTGGGGGAAATTTCTTCATAAATGGCAACTTCTTTATTAAAAGCATGAAAACAATTCACTTATCACTTGAACTAAGTGGTTCTTTCAGGCTTTTTTCCCTGTTGGTGTTCATGCTGGTTTCCTCCTAGTTGGTTCAGATTTCTCTAGTCCATAGTAAAGGAACGTCCGTCCTGCTAACATCTTTGGAATTTTATTAAGGAGGCCATGAAAGAGAGTTGTCCAGTAAACAAAGCTGGGATAGGCCTCTGACAACTCCTGGGCTTGTCTGAGCTGTTGCTGAGGTGTTGCTACACACTCATTACAGGAGGGAGACAGCCCATAAAAACAGCTACTTCCCACATGCTGAATGAAAGCTGTTAACATGGATTTTCCTTGTGACCCTGCTGGCTGGTGCTGTGCACTTCTCAGCCAGTGGGTGAGTCACTGGGAAATACAATGATTCAATAACCACTTCAGTCACTTGCCTCATTCATCTCTTATGGATTCAGTTCAAATGTGCTTTAAATGGTTTGTATGTGAAAATGTCTCTGGTCTTAGTGACATTTCTTGCTGGGCTCTGATGCCTTTCCCCCATGCACATTATCTTGCACAGAGCCATCATATTTCCTTTTCAATCTAGCTCTCCCTCTCAGTCGGAGAGGGAAATACGTATAATTCTACATATCACACAGTGGGAGATTATTAATCTTAATTGCCAGACTTTCACAAGTCTGTGATTTCTGTTGCAATTTCTGCTCTGGAAAGACACAAAACCAAACTTTTTTTGGTATCATTAGCAGAAAAGATGTCAGGCCTTGAAGTGCTTTTTAGGTGTATCTGTGCTGCCAAATTCTTGCAGCCTTCAATAATCTATTTTACCAATTTCTTTTCAGACAGAGAGGTGCTTTAAGAAATGGGAAAGTTTGGAAGTGGAATTCTGGATGGAAAGAGTGTGAGTAAAACTCCAAAGCTAAAAGGTATAGATCTGCAGGGAGTAATGATACCTCTGAGTATGAGAAACTTAGAAACTTCTTCCAGCTCTTTCTCTCAGCAGTGAACCTAAATTACAGTTTCAAACTTTTTTTTTTTTTTACCTTACCTTTTCTAGCTAATTCCACCTTTCAGTATATTTCATACAAATTTTAAACTTCTGTTGAATGTGTATATCTAGATCCCGGAGATGTAATAAAATTGTCACAATGTGATAACTTTTACACAAGAGGGATGTGAAACTTAACATGAGTGCTCTTCAAATTGTTGTTATTAATTGAACAATGCCTAGAACATTGTGGAATTTCTCAGAGATCCTAAAACTTGTCTTGCATTATTATAACAATGTATACATGGAGTTATGTAGACAGTACCAGAAAAGTCACCCATTTAGCAATAGCTTAGCTAAACTGAAAAAACATAAAATCAACAAATAATGAAAATAAGACCATCCTCCTCAAAATGGTAATCAGCATTGTCTGCAGGAGAACAAGTCCCATAAGATAAACTTTATCTGTCTTTTAAATCCTACCACAGGCTTGGTTGAAGAGAACACCCTAAACTATACATTCTGAAATATTTGAGTTTAGCATTAGCCAAAAAAAAAAAAAAAAAGAGGAAAAAAAGTAGTCCAGTGAAAACTGTCTAACTTGAGTGATGAGTGATCAGGAGAAGGAACTGTGAGTAAGACAAATAAGACTTATTCTTAAACATGAGGAAACTGCAGAAAAAAAGAATTTGTGTTCTTGGTTAATTTCTCCCACAGTGAAACTCAAAATGTATTTAATTTATCTGTGAGAAGTGCCTTTAGAGATGGTATCATGTATGATGATGGTAATCATCTCCTGCAACTGTGGAAGCAGTCACAGTCAGACACAAGAAAGGTCAGAATGAGAGGCAGTGCTTGGGAACTGGATTCAGGCTAGAAATAAGAAGAGCATCTTTCACCATTCAAGTTTTAAGGCATTTGGACAATGACCATCCTTAGGAATCAAACCTAGTTATTTAAATATATTTTACAGTTGAAATAGAAGTTTTAAGCCTGGAAATGGTGTTTGGTGAAATAACCTGGACATACAAAGGTTTTGTACTACATAATTTCAGTGGCTCTCTCAGATATACGAAAGCATTTATGAATGTGTGTAACATAGAGGTGTTGGAATATTTGCCTTAGTGAAAGATGCTCTTGGTAGACTCTACAGAATACTCATGTAATTAAATGACCACATCCATTCAGTGACAGACCAAGGTCTTAAAAGGTAAAATATCTGGGACAAAGACTTTTTATTACTTACCTCTGTGTTTTGCAGTCATACATATATAGCACAGTGGGAGCTAATTCTTATTTGCCATTCATTTGTGATCAGCCATAAGTTATAATATGAACTAGTCAGAAATGTCTTTCCTAATAAATGTTTGCAGAACACATTAATAGTAGTCTTTGCTTTCCCTAAGTCATATGGTCACTTATTAATAGCAGGACATGATTCCACATATACCAATATGCCTTTGTTCTGCTGTAGCTTAGCACATAGTTTTAAGCTTTAAGATTTTTATGGGCTTTCCTGTCTGTCTTTTTGTTTGGCTGCTGTATTTTGGTTCACCTGCTTAGCACAGGATCATGTATTTTGCCTTTTAGAAAACAAATTGTGATAACTTACCTATGTTCAAGTGGGAAAGGTCATATAACTGCTATTTAAAAAACTAAACAAAACACACCAAATCCATCTACTCACGCAGTTTTTTTTGTTTCTTACTTGTTTTTATCTTTTCAGTCCTGGGCCTCCAGAGCATCTCATTACCAATGATGTCCTAGTGGTAAGGTTCACATAAGAATTTATCTTGGAGTGACATCTGCTTCATTTTGGTCCTCTCCTCTTCCCCCCATTTTGTAGAAAGAACACAACCTACCATGATAGATAAGAGCATGGTGTGTATTTTAAACTCAGAATTATGGGACAGTGCCCTTGTGTTACAGCTCACCTGTTGCCCTCTCCAGAAAAAACCCAGCAGCTGTGAGTCCTTGAAGTCCTCAGCTATTACAGATGTCAATATGTTGCCAAGCTGTGGTTTGTTACTCTTGCAGAACCCCATATTTATTGGTGTTCAAAGTGAAAACTGATTGTGTTTCTCGTAACCTAGCATGGCACTTGGCAGGAAAAACAGAGGTTATAAAAGGTCTGTAGAAGACAATAGTAGGTGTTCAGTGTGCTTATGACTGGAAGGGTATCTAATGTAACAGCTTTTTTGGAAATGAGTTTTTTAATAAAGAGTTATTTTAGCTGTTGAAATATAGAGCTCTGTTTTGCTGTTAGTCAGCATGTGGTACATTACCTGTCTCCTCGGGCTGGCCCAGCAGCTAAGGAGCACCTAGAACTCCATGCCAACTCCTCCAAGCCTGTCATGGTTCCCAGATGCTAGCCCTTGATACCCCTGAGGCAAAGTAACACATATTGTATTCTTTCCCCCTCATTTTCTGTGTGAGGCACAAGAGTTGCAATGACTGGCATGCATTGTTCCTGAAATGACTTGGAAAACTGTCCTGGCATGAGTTATTAAAGGTGAACTGGAGTGACTCAGGTGGAGGGTAGGGTAGAATAAATTCATGATTTCCCTACATCAGGGCCAATAAGAAGATGCTTTGTAGGCTAATCACTGCCACAATACACAGAAACTCATCATCAGGTATTTTCACCCACCCTTCCTAAATAATTATTAGATATATGTGTTTGGGCACCAGTGTGTTGTACAGAGTTTCCTGATTTTGGGGTAATTTGAATGTGTTAACAGCCTCTGACAATGCACCACTGTATTGAGACTCTGACACAGTGCAACTTGGTGTACTGTCCTGGAATAATGAGCTCTGAATTTTCTCTTGGATCACTCCCAGCACTGAGACCAGTTCAGCTGGCTCAGTATTATAGGTGGTGGCTGTCTGCATGATGTTTCATTATTTGCAGCAGAAATGTTATTTGCTTTCTTCACCCTTTTCCATTTCTTTTACAGTCTCGTGAGGTTTGCTGCTTGGAAGTGCATGTGGACATTAATGAAAGCAGGAAATACTTGAAAGGTATGGCAATTTCTCTGTGAACTTAGGATGTGACCAAACCAACCCTATTATAGTCATTCAGATCCAGAGGGAGGCATTTTAGAGTACAGAGACAAATAAGAATGCTCTAAATTATATATAGGTAGTGATATATGATCTAAATAATAAAATGCAATGCATTGAAATGCCCTGAACTGCCCTGGACTGGTTTCTGTGTCTTTTCCTTGGAGCTATCAAGTTTGGACACTTCCACTTGCTGGTGGAAGTAAGAGAGGATGCTGACTCTGGGAGCACTCCAAGCTATGGGGGTAAAGGCAGGAGTACCAGGTCCTGTGCTGGAGGAGACCTGCTGGTGGGGTAGTTTACAGAGGAGCTACCACAGAAAATTACTCCACCAGAAAGTTTGCCAACTTTTCTAGCTCTTTTGCCTGAACAGCAGTATTATTCTCTAAACAAACCTGTTTTTACTAGAGGGTAAAAATCTCGTGCTTACGGTGCCTGCATCCCATGAGAGAACCCAGAAGACGACAGAGGACACCGATACTTTCTACTTCCACTGCGTGAGGGCTTGGGAGCCAGTTCTAAAAGTCAGGCTGCAGGTAATGGGCACCCCACACTGCTACTGTTCATACTACTTGCTTACTTCTGGTGTGACCAAAACAGTGAAGAACTGCACTGTTTCTGCTCTGTGAATACAACCTATGCTTCCTGTGTTTTTTATAGAAAGTTTCTGATAAGGAAGATGACAACAGCAATTTAAGTGACACCTTAACAGTACCACTGAAATTTCTCCCTGTTGGACATAAAGTGAAAGTAACCCTTCCCGTAAGACATGTAAGTGTTTCATAATTTGTGTATGAAAAGAAGAGTATTTAACGCATTAATATTTAATGCATTAATATTTAAAAAAACAAATCCCAAAACAATAGCCAAAAAGTATGCAGGGTGGCAGTGGTGGGACTTTTCAGGAGGCACTGAAAATCTGGATTCAAAACTTCTTTTTTCCCTCCACTCATGTTCCTGCTATCATCTCTTTGTTTACAGAATGTGCCACTACAGTTGTACCTCCAACTGAATGCTTGGTAAGAGGACTGGTTTGTTTTTTTTCTCTGAAGGTTTTATTGCTCTTTGAACTGTGAAATCTTGAACAGAGTATCCTTTATTTAGATATAAGGAATGCACAAGACTAGGGGCAAAATGGGGCAATATTTAAGTCATCATTAAAGAGTCACCACAACAGTTCAAAGATAAATATCCTTGGGGCAAAGGAGTCTCACCAAAATGCAAAAAAAAATTGTGAGAGTTTCAAACAGTGAGAGACTTAGTCACTGAGTATCTTTTGCATCAAAGAATCAAAAACTAAAATTAGAGGCTTCTTCAAAAAGGGTACAGAAAAAAGGCAGAGCGAAAAGAGAATTTGAAATAATGAAACATCAGAGTCCATGTATTACCCAAATGGCCCATGTTCTCTTAAGAAAATGGACTTGTGTCTCTGATGATATCAAGACAAAGAGGTATAAACTAGGGAAGACGAAATGTTGCATTGTAAAATAATGTGTCAGACAAGAAACAAACAAAAATTATTTTAATATCTTTTTCATTGTATGGTTTCTGTATAAATCTGCAGTACAAATGCTTATGAAAGACTTTGTTAGGTTAAAGTCATCCTTTGCTCAGAAATCGTATGAAGCAGAAATAGAAAGGATTTAGCTTACAAAGCTACTGAAAGTCAAAGAAGCCCTTCTTTGTTTTGCATATTTATTAACCTTAGCTGACAGTAAATCTTACATTGAAACAATAAAGAGACCATGTAGAAGCAAATAAGTTGATTTCTTTGCAAATGAAAGATACATTTCTGTATAAATCAGAACAAAGAATCAGGATTTTTAATGAATTCATTAGAGTGCAGTTGCTGGAAATAGATCCATATACATTTTAAACACCAATCCTGTGCCTCTGGATTTATTTGTTGCAGCACAGAAAAACTAGATGTGCGCTTAGGGTATGACCTGTGCCAAGGAGAGCAGGAGTTCCTGCATAAGAGGAAGAGAGTTGTTGCTGGAGCCCTGAAAAGGGTTCTTCACCTGGAAAGAGATCTACATGGACATGAGGTGTGTGCTTTGGAATCCAAGCATGGGGTGTGGGTCTACTGAATTAGGATTGGCACAACTCCCCTCAAAATTTCTAGTAATATTTGCTTGTTGCTAACAAACCCATTGATTTGAATGGCACCAGAGCAGAGGCTCTGAGTGTGGCATATCCCAGACTCATGTAAAATTTCAGCTCAAGTATTCATCCCTCCAATCTTTTCAATGGGCCATATTACAAGGATGTAATAATACCACTCTTCAAACACAGTTTCCAACAGCATGGTGCTGCAAGTCAGAAAGACATGAGGCATTGTCTCAGATACAGCCTAGTAAGGCAACCCAAACCAATAGGAAAACAAGAGTATTGGAAATTCACCTCACAAAAATACTTACAAAATCAGTGTAATGTCACTTCTTTAGACTTACTTTTTATCTTTCTTCATTCTCAGAACACTTCTTACAAAAAGTGAGCATTTTTTGTGGTGAAGAAAGAACATTAGAACATTTTATAACAAGCTGAAGTATGTTTTGTTGCCAAGATCCAGGGTGACTTTTTAAGGGAAAACTTATTTTCTTACTGGAATTGTATTTGTTAAATGAACGCTATCCAAAGAATCAGCAGCATTCAAAAAACTTCCTTAATCCATTTTAACTGCATTTATTGCAATTTGTTGTTGTTTGTAAAGAAATAATGTAATTATCTACTTTTAATCATTGCAATTCCAGTTATTGGGAGCAAAGGTAAGAAGGAAGTTTAAAATGACTGCATATTCAAACTCATCCAAGCATTGAGGTTAAGAGTCTCTGGAGGTTAATTTCAGAAGGGTACTGGTAAAGATTGGCTAAGTGGTGATTTAGTTCATTGTCCTCCAATGAATCTGCTGAAGAAATTCTGAGAGCTGTAATTAGACTTTTCCAAGTAGCAAGGGAGTAACTTTCTGAGAATAATCCTTGTGTTTTGGACAGGTCCCAGTAATAGCTGTTATGGCAACAGGTGGAGGTCTCAGAGCAATGTCAGCTATGTTTGGCCACCTCTTAGCTCTTCAGAAGCTAAATCTGTTGGACTGTGTCACCTACCTCACTGGGGCTTCTGGCTCAACATGGTACGTATAGAAAATGAGATTGGATTTGGAATGACTGTGACTACTTTTCCACACAGCAGGAAATGAATCTCTTTCAGACTTACATTGTTAACAAGTGAACATAATTCCCTCGTGAAGCTCTTACTGTTGGCTCTCAATTATGAATTCAGTTTGAAGAGAATCTGACTCACTGAGTTTCTTTAATTAATTGAAGTAACTGTGTAAATATATCAATTTTCCAATATCATCTAAATAAATGGATGATTTTCTAACATTTCTGCTCCTTAGGACCCTAGCAGACCTGTATGAGCATGCTGACTGGTCACAGAAGTCTCTCGAGGGGCCACTTAAAGCAGTAAAAGAACAAGTGACAAAATGCAAACTCAACCTTATGTCTATAGACCATCTGAAGTATTATCACAAGGAACTTGCTGAAAGGGCAAAAGCAGGACATGTGCCATCTTTTACAACTCTGTGGTCACTTGTTCAGGAGATGTTCTTGCATGAACGGGTAGGTACATGGTCCTGCCACACATCTGGGAAACACCACTTTCTTTAGAGCCTTACTCTTTGAGGGCACGATGTAATGTGTGTAATAAATCCAAAGAGACTGAGCCATCCCAATGTGGTTTGTGAACTATGACAGAGGATCTCGTGGTCAGGATTTTTCAGAGTAGATAATCATTTGAAGGTGCCTCTGTCCTAGGATGCCCAACAGCTAGTGACTTCAGTAGGCAAACTCCCAGAAAGAACTGAGGAATTCCCAGCCCCCACTCTCCCTGAAAAGTCAGATTTTTAAAGTCTGCTTCTAGTTTGACATTTGAAAGTTAATGTGTCCTGATGTGAATATTAATCTCAACTTTAATAAAGATCCATGGGATGCAAGCAGTCAAGGCACTTGGATATTCTAACAAAGAAGTTACTGGGTACCCAAAAGGCAGCCAGGAAGGAAAGTGCAGGAAGGAAAAGATCTCTTAAGAAAATGTGACTTACAGATTCCTCTGTGTTGTAAAATATCTGTTATCAATCTTTAAATTTTTACTTGGGTAGATTGTGCCAGTGTTATGCTCTTGCAGAGGTTTACTGTGATTTTTTTATCTCACTGATTAGCCAAGAAAGTACAAACTCACAGACCAGCGCAAGGCACTGGAGCATGGACAAAACCCACTGCCTTTCTATGCAGTCCTCAATGTGAAAGAGGAGAAGTTTGGTACTTTCAAATTTAGAGGTAGGTGTTCAGGGAGTTTCTTCTGATTCTGGGTATGGATTAAAGAGGATTTGGAGGGAGGTGTCTGTGTGGGGACAAAAAAGGGGGAATACATCAGTTTTTTGCCCTCACTCAGTATTCATCTTTTAATAAAATGTTTGTCTTTTTTGCAAACTGCTTGGTTAGAAAGAGCATGTCTGCTGGAAAGCATCCTAAGAAATAAACAGGACATTAATAAAAAATCAGTGAAATCCTATTTTTGCAACAGACACTGTGAGTGAGTGTGGGCAAATAATCTAATCTTTTGCTGCCATATCTATAAAATGGCTTTGATGCTTCCTTAGTTTCTAGGGGCGCTGTGAAATGTAAGTGTCACTTCCTAAATATGGCACTGATGAGGGTATGAGAATGGAGTGGAATATGATTGCTGTGGTGGGTGTGATATGACATCCTTTGACTGGATACAGGCCACACTCGACAAAAGGTGTTAAAAGCAGGAGATACTGGAAAGAAAAGCAATTAATCCTTATATTTGTTTATGTTTACAACTACTGTTCTACTGTAATGCCTTTGCAGGACAGCTTGAGCCAGGAAACTGCACATCCATGCCACACTGTAATTTCTAATGTGATGTTGATGTGTCTTCAGACTGCTTTGTTATATCTTGTAGGCTGGCAGTTTTGGGTTAATAGAGCTTTCATGCCAGTCACTCCTTGCAATTCACACCACTCTTGCATGAAGTACAGTTGGTGCTCTTGATTTAGAGAGACAAGTGTGATCCCAGAATCTTTATATAGAAATAAATATCTAAGCATTTGAGCTGAATGTTAGAGCTTTCTGAGTTGAAAAGGCTAGTTCCTTTGGGTTGTAAATAATATCTCAATTTTTAGGGAAGTAGACAGTGGAGCTTGCAGTACAAAAGTGCAGATAGTACAGAGCTGCTGAGACAATCAAGATCCTTGGGAAGATTTGGGGGTTTTATTTTTATTGCAGCAAACATCTCTCATGTAAATTCTTTGTAGAGTGGGCAAATTTCTCTCCTTACGAAGTGGCCATGCCAAAATATGGAGTCTCCATTCCTTCAGAATATTTTGACAGCGAGTTCTTCATGGGAAGGAGAGTGAAGAAGCTGCCAGAATCTCGTATCTGCTATCTGGAAGGTGAGATAGCAGTGCTATGTAGTTAATCACAGCCTTGTAGAAAGTGTGATATTTGCTAGCCACAGGCACACCGCTCCTTGCCAGCCCTTCTGCTTTAGGTCTTAAATCAATGGGCTTTTTACCCTTTCATACGCTTCTGATCTTTGTGTGTCTTCTTTCCTTCTGTCCTCCCTTTTCACCTGGGTAGATTTGGAAAAGTTGCAGCATAGTTCCTGTTCCATTGTCTAAACCAAACAAGATGGTGGAAGAAGCAAGTTGAGGAAATAAGAAGTGTTCCTTCCCTGATCAGCCTCCAACTCTTCAACTTCATAAACTATAATTCTAGATGAAGCATTACTGGGGTAGAATTGGAATGGGCTGAGAATAAAGCATGTCATCTAGAACAAGGCAGGAGCTACCTGAGCTTTGTGGCTTGAGGATGTCACTAATCTTCTCTGCCCATAAGGATGAAGGAGGGCCTTTTGACCTCCAACAACTACTTTGACTGGCCATTTTGCCACCAAAGGTGAAGAAAAAGTAGCTAGTAGAGGAACCTATCAGTCTCAGTCCTTAAATCCTTATAAGTGTTTTAGTTTTGATACCAAACACAAAGGTAGAGGATAAAACCCCCATATTTATCTCGCTGTGGAGTCTGATAGAGATTCAGTTTGTTCCTCATGTAAGTACCTGGCATAGAGTTTAATGAGGAAGGATAGTTCTTTTCCAAAAGCAGACTCACAGATGGAGCCAATTCTATTTTGAACCTGGACCAGCTGCACTCCACAGAAACAAAACATGCCTGGAAGGAAGAAAATGAGTCTTAGATCGATTTAAATAATAAATCAGTTTAAAGAAAGCCTTTATGCTTACATGGCTTCACCATGCTTTCAAAGCCTCCTTTCTCTCACAGGTACACAGGAAACTTTCTACAACATCTTTTGGGTGACTGATACCTCTTATTCTGTTACTCCGTACTATGCAGTGAATGTTCTGTGTGTAGTTACCTCCTGAGAAAGAGCACTGAAGTGCTTACACCACAGTGTTTGAAGTTTTTGAGAACTGCTGCTTAGTTGTGTCATGATGGAGTCAGGCTGGGTGGGCTAATAATGTGTAGCATGGATATTTACAATAGTCAGGGGTTAACATGTGGTAGTGCAGTACTTTTCCCATGTGGTTTGACTTGCAGGTCTTTGGACAAACATCTTTACTAGGAATTTGCTGGATGGCTTGTACTGGTCCTCAAATTCAAATGAATTCTGGGAGCGATGGTCCCAAGATATGGTAGATATAGGTAAGAGTTTCTAAAGAGTTGCCTCATTGTGGATCTTCTAGCATGACTTTAATCTGTATCACAATGATTGCTACGTCCTTTTCTCTTCTCTCTTTTCCCCAGAGGCATGCTTCATGTTAGTACAAATGTTTTTCATTTAAAGTTTCCTCATGGTCTGCTAAATGGCTCTGCCTGTTACTGCAAATAAGAAGCTTGGCTTTTACTTGTGATTGAAAGTACAAAGCCAGCATGTCATTTGAAAGAGTAAAACACAAAAACTGTGCCTGCTTTAAAGAAAACTAAATATCACTTTGGTAAATGATGTGGGTCATGTGCACATGTTTTCCAGCAGCCTGCAAGAAACAGGGATGAGAGTGACCCACAGGAAGACAACAAGGGCAGCTAGCCAGCAGAGGTGTCTGACAGGGCAGATTGCTGTTGTTTTTTTCTCTATTTCATGGCTTCTTCTCTATTTCAGAAAAACATTCTCCTGAGGAAGATGTTAGTGTTATTGAGCCTCCATCTTGCTTGTCAGGAAAGTTGTATGAAATGTTTCAGGACATCATGACCAAGCGTCCACTGCTGGGAAAGTCTCATAACTTCCTGAGAGGCTTAGAGTTTCACAAGGATTATATCCATCAGAAAAAATTTATTGAATGGAAAGGTAACTGCAACAAAGAGTTAGCTGCACTGTGCAGGTAACATCTCAGATTTTGTTTTTTAGAAATGGAAAACTCATATTTGTTTCAGGGTTTGGAAATTGGCTGAGTTGGACCTATATTCGTGGTATCTGTTTCTTTAGGGTAACAGGTTAAAATTAACTAGTCTATGGACTGCTCTTTCACTTCCAGAAGATACCTGTAATTTGGGTCAAGAAGTGCTTTTCTACAGGAATTTTGTCGCTCTGCATAGGTACAGTAGTAAAAAGATTTAGGAAGGGCAGAATCTTTTGAGGTCAAGAAACAAAGGGAACACCAGAAGCATAAAATAGCAGGTTATTATGTGGATCAGATGAAGGAAAGGACTAGTTGCAAGCATGTGGTTTTCCATATATTTGGTGTTTCTGCCTGATGAATTTACCATCCAGATACCTGTCTTTAACCCCTCAGAAACACCAAAATCCAGCTACAGAAATTTAACATAAGTTTAGACTTTAAATGTTAAAAGAACAGATGTATAGACTTGATTTAAAAATTGAAGAGCCATTTTCTTTGGCCCTTGCTGTCTAGGCAGGCAGCAATAGTTTTATCTCAAAACCTATGAAACAATCTGTGAAATGATAGCAAGGTGATGGAGCTGAGATGTTCTGCATCATAAATCTTCCTATAATCCCAGCATCTTCATATATTCCATGAACATGTAGCAATTTGGGAGTACCCCACATTATTGAGGTTAATCTGACTTCAGCAAGAAAGCACACATTCTCTGCCTTCTCTGAGCCCTCCTCTTTGGCAAATTGCATTTTCTCTCCCATTTTAGGCAAGTTACAACGTGTTTTGTCCCTCTCTGCCCTTGCTACAAAGTTTGCTGACAACGTGGAGAGATAGTGGTGCATTTCTGTGGGTTAAGGCAGAGCCCACAGTGTGCTATCTGCTTTTAAAATGTTCAGTAAGCAAAATGTCTGTGTCCTAAAAGGGTCTGCACTAAGAAAACAAGTGAAAGAAGGAGAAAAACAAGTAACATAAGAAGGGTGGGTGAGAGAAGGAACAAGCAAGTAGCTTCAGAAGGTGGATGAAGGATAAAATTGACAGTCAGTAAATGTTAAAAAAACATAACTGTCCTTATATTTGCTGACAGTTTTGTAAAGACAAATGGGTAGAAGCAGATTTCAATGAGGATGTTGAGGAAGTGAGCATAGGAACACTAACGACTATCAAGGTAGATATTCTACAAATAAAGTAAAATATGTGGAAACCATGAAATCCAGAGTGGGAAAAGGGAAACTGAAAGTCTGGAGTGGGAAAAATTATCAGGTTTTCCATCTTCTTTTTGCTGTCTGTGTAAGATCAAGCTAAACCCAGGTATGGATCCATCTCTAGGAGTAAGAGGAGATGCCAGGTCTGTGAGCAGAAATGAATCTTGTGGTAGATGAAATCTTAAGAATAGAGCTTTGTTTTAGAGTCTTCCCTGAAGCTCAGGTTATCTGACATATTAAAACAAGACTTTCCATGCCTAATTTTCTTCATGAGAAATTGAACTAATAATCTGGATTTATCTTAATGCCTTTTCAGTAGTATTCAGGCTTCAAGGGATATTTCTGAGACAGGATTTCTTTAAAATTTCTATTTGGATGTGGGATGAAAGAGGGGATTCTCACAAGAGAAGTGTCTACTTGTAGTTCACATACACAGTCATGAATAAATGCTGCAAAGTTCCATCTCTGTGATAAGAAAACAGTGGTAATGGAATTTCATCTAAAAAAGTTCACCAGGCCAAGTAAATCTAAAAAGTGTGCTCTGTTTCTTCTGTGAGGGACTGTAAGCAAATGTCTCTTATTACAGTTGAATCTGTGAATTCTCAGCAGCCTTGAATGCTAAAATAAGCACATTTCGTAAAGACTTGACAGGGAGGGAATGGAAAAATTATGAATTATTACTTCAAGCTGGTGTGAAACATTCCAGGCTATGGAAAAAGCTACATTTACTCTGCATGGTTTAAATCAACACTACAGAATGAGGCCAAGAAAGCAGAGCAATTGAATGAATTGAAATGCTGAAACTTAGCAACAGTATTTGTGTGATCAACAGTTTCTTAAAATGCCTAAACATAATTATTTGAAGCTCAAGTATTCTGCTCTGGGCTTTGCTGCCTCATTTTGTGAACTTGAGGAACACTCTCAAACCACTATTTTGATAGTTAAAACCGTGGCAAAATGTTCCCTGTTCCATGGGACTGAAAGTGCACTAGAGGAACAGTAAAGCACTTGCTGTCTACATGGCAAGCTGGGGAAGTTGCTAGCAGACAAGTAGGAGTCTAGCTATCAGAAACTGGCTTTAGATTTCAACTTACCAGTTGGTGTAATCCCCTTTTGGCATTAATGTGAGGTTTAATTAATTCAAGCAGTATTTTAAGCTGTTGGTAGGTGATGTTGTATGCATGATGTGGTATTTTTTTACAGCGTGACTGATAGTTAATATGACATCACTGAAAGCAAGTTGGAGCCAGACTTTTCTACCTGAAAGAGGGGTTGAAGGCAAAGCCTGAGAAGGCAAAAGCAAAAAAAGAGCAATGCAGAAGTGCAATGATGTATTGCATTTGTTAGTTGTGTTGCAACACTGTGAAATTGTTTTTGTTGTTTGCATTTTTCCCAGTTCTTAGGGGGAAAAATAATAATCTGTTGAAGTCTGTATTCTGTGAAAAATGACTCCCCAGAGCAGCTGTGAGGTCAGTGGAGTCTGTGTCTCACCTGTCCTCTGTCTGGCTGCCCCACAGCCTGCCTTTGTGAGTGTGCCTGGGAGAGTGTGGAAACAGGCCAGGTGTGTCTAGATGTGCAGATTGAAGGGCATGCTCCTGAGGCTGTGTTTGTGGGCTCACGTTCTGGAGGGAGGTGATCCCAGTCTGGAGGGTAACCAAGGAGCTGCCCTTAGCACATAGCACAGACAGAATTACTCACTTTCTTTCCTAAAAATGCACCACTAACTATATTAAAATGTTTTTCAGACACTGTGCTGGATGGTTTCCCTAACAATCTGACACCACTGCAGAAGTATCTTTGTCTGATAGATGTTGGCTACTTCATCAACACCAGTGGTGCAGCACTTTTCAAGCCAGAGAGGAATGTCGATGTCATTATATCCCTTGATTATGGTTTGGGACATGTGTTCAAGGTGAGAAAATTAACTTTGTGCTTTGCAGAGTAAAACTCTTCTTGTCTTATTAAAACTTTTAAGTAAGTGGCTGTCTAAATCTTAATCAAATATCACCATACCTTGAAGGAGGAGAGAAACTTCCTTCAAGAATGGAACTATAGAAACTGTTAGGCTCTCTTTTCTGTGGGGGATTACAACATATACTTCCTATAATCCTCAGGGAGTTGCAGTAACGATTGTTTGCTGGAGACATGCCTGTGACCTCTCCTGGTCTGTCATGGTGAATTCTGAGTGTGACTTTGGGTCATTCACTTGGGCTTGTAAAAAATGTTACAGGGTAATAAAGTGTCATTGTCTGACTTGGTTGAAAGTAAGGTTGTACTGTGGCTACTTTGGACTACGCATTCCATAGTGTTTCTACTGCACTACACATTCCATAGTGTTTCTAGGGAATGAGTTAAGATGCCATTGTATTCCAGGATACCTGAGTAAACCTGATTATTGTTTTAGAGCTTTAACTCTGTGCCATTCTGTGTCCACAGCAATTAGAGATGACATACAAATATTGCAAGATACAAAATATCCCATTCCCCAAAGTGGAGCTAAGTCCAGAAGAAGAGAAGAACCCAAAGGAATGTTATATATTTGCGGATGCAGAGGACCCCAGAGCACCCATAGTAATCCATTTTCCCTTGGTGAATGACACCTTCAAGGAATTCAAGGAGCCAGGTAAATGCAGTCAACAGAACTGTAGAGCACAGTCAAGAGCACTGTGCTCTACCCCCAGTATATGTTACATGTCTCGTGATGGGAGGCAGAAGAGCGGCCTCCATACTCCTGCTGGTTGTTCTCCACTTGAAAAGCATGGAGGGCACAGTCCTGGGCAACTCAGTGCCACAGTGGCTCCTCCAGCCCTGCCTGTGGCAGATGGCTCATGTCATTGTCCCTTGGAGCAGAGCTGCAGGTCCTCCTCACTTGCGCCTGCTGCCATGTCCTGCCAAGGGAGATGTGCAGAGTGCTGGAATTTTTTCTGGCACTGGGATGAGGGAGAGTAAAGAAAGGCCCAGAGAGCTGTGGGAACAGGGAGATAAGGGCGTCCTGAAGGACCTGCTGGTGGGGGCTGGGGAGCCTTGGGCTATCCAGCCCCAGAGCTGGCCCTGCACCCCTGTCTTCCCCAGGCTGCTTGTGGTGGAGAGTAAGGTGACAGGGGTGAGCTCCTTCCAGCTTTACCCAAAATTCTATTGGGGCCCATAGTGGGACCAGAGCAAAATGGAAGTCTCTGAGGGAGCGTTTGGGAAGGGTAGGAAAAACAGCAAAAAGTAAAGGTACTTTTCTGCTCTGATATTCAGTGATGCTCAGTGAATATGTACAGTAAGAGCTAAATCAAGAAAATCACATTTAGAAACTCAGTGGATGAAAAGAGGAGATACTCTTTAGAGGGAGCTAAACTTGTTCAGTGGAGACTGGAAATGGTCCAAATGGCAATGTAGGGTGAGATCCAACCGTTCAGCAGTGGGTGGCAGGTAAAGCAGGTGAAGATTTTTGAATCTCTCCGAATGAAAAATAGATGAGGTGCTGCAGAGCAGAGCAGCTGTTGCCAGTTCTCTGCTCCAGGCCTAAGCTGGTGAGCTCTGACACTCACCTGCGTGTCTCTCAGCAGTCACTGATTCATCCATCAAGCTGACAACCAGCAACTGATGTGGGTGGTTGGAGGAGGGGGTCCTTGGCAACTTGCTTTCATGGATCTCAAGTTTAACAGTGGAGCTTTTTTGTTCCTAGGGGGATGAGAGACATCTTGTGGAATGTGGGTAGATATTTTTCTTGTTTTTAACTATTTACAGTCTAAAAGGACTCAGCCTGTGAAGTGCTCATTTGCAGTGCAGCAGTTACAGACTCTGCTTTGGTGTGCTTGAAGCAGATGCAGCTTTATCTGGATGTGGACAGCATAGATAATACATCTCTCTGAGTATTGTGAGGCTCAGTGAAGCAACATCAGACGCTTCTAGTGGTAGTCTGTGCCTAGCACCCTGAGATCACACTGTTCAGAAACCACTAGGTTAGACTAAGACCTGCAGTGTCTCAAGCAGGTGACACAATTCTTGCATCTTTTTCATGAGGTTCTGGTTGAAATCATAAGGAGTATTTCAGCAGCCAGTTTGTAGCCCTGCTGAAAATCATCTCATATTACATTAATGTTTTGGGCATATTTGATTCAGACTGCAAGGAGATAGGCAAAAAAAAACAAGCGAAAAACTGAAGCAAAAAAATTTGTAGAAACGTAAATATGAGACTGCTGAAGTCCTCAGTGCAGGGAATTAGGGGGTCCTTTTAAACAAAAGCATTGACATGACAGGGAGTATGGATATTGCCAATTCCAAGAGGCAAAACCTGAGGCCAGACTGGAGTTTGCTGAGAGTCTGATGTAGGATGCTCTGGTCCCTCTGCACTCTGCAACAGGCAGTCCTGTGTGCTTGGCATCACAAGGTCTCCTTGTGTGTACTGGGCTGTCCACTCACTCTAGCTGGCAGACCTGCACTTGTCACCACTAATCCAGGGGCAATCATGGATTTTTAAAAGTGTTCCAGGTGTGTGTCTTTGTCTGAGAATCAGACTTACAGGATTTGGAAATGGATATGGACCCATGGGCGTGCTGCCTAGGAATGATGTCTGCAGGGGCAGGACAAGGAGGAATTTGGGCCAGCTCTGCTGAGGGATTTCCAGGTCTGAGCTTTAGCAGGAGGGAAAGGAGGAAGAACCAGAAAAACAGACCAGAAATGGTTCTTTCAAGCTGTGGAGTGGGTTTGCAGTATTTCCTGGGGGCTGTTTTTAGCAGGGGGTCCTGCCAAGAAGATCAGTCCCCTACAACAGTGTACTCCAGATTCATCTCACTGTGGTGGTTTTCTCTTTCTCTGCAGGAGTGAGGCGTGGTCACTCGGAGATGGAAGAAGGCAAAGTAAATCTGGAGAACAACTGCTCACCGTACTACCTCATTAGGCTAATTTATTCCTCTGAAAATTTTGATAAACTTGTGAACCTGAGCAAATACAACATCCTCAATAACAAAGACCTGCTTCTCCAGGCAATCAGGAGTGCTGTAGAACGAAAGAGAAGAAGGAGGACTGGGAATTTCCCCAGCTACTCTGGATACCCCTAAGCTGGGTATCCAGCTTATTTTTGCCCTGTTCCCCACTGAAGGCTATGGCAGCACAGCACATTGCAACACATCACAGTCACATTATAACACATCACAGTGTTCATTGTTTGCAGAAAACTGACCAAACCTGTACATTTCTCACCTTGCCATGTTCAGGCTCCCAGCTTTCAGAAGGGTTTATTTTATCTCCTTCCCCTACATTTTCAGACCACAAGAGTCTCACAATGTGGTCTTTCTTATTAAGAAATTAGGGTCCTGGTAGGCAGAGACCTCCCAGGATCTCCTTGATGTTACAGTATATGGTGGTGGTGATAGTTCTTTGTATGAGCCTGTCCTTTCAGCCCTGAGCCCATTGTTGGTGTCCTTTCAATACTTGATTACAGATCAAGTCCTGGCCATTTGCATTCAGTGATGTCCAGATTTTCAGATAGGCTGAGCAACTAGAATTTGCACTGAATTGGTGGGATCAGCTTTGAAGTCAGGCATATATATATATGTGAAAAGCAGCCAAACTGCAGTGTGGACAATTGCACTCTGTCTGGCCTATTTCCCTTGCTGATTTAGAATTTATTCCTTTTTTCTATTCCCCTGCAAGACTTTGGCATAGAAATGCTGCTCCAGATGACCACAAAGGGGGCAGTTACATTTCAAAAGAGAGGGCAGTAGCAGCAGTGAGTGAGCACAGCTCCTTCGAGCATCGGCTGCAGAAAAAGTTCTGCATAAAGCACATGTGATTGCATTGATTTATATCAGCAGTGCCTTTTTTGATTATAATGTCAAGAGCCTGAAACAAGTTTTTCATAGCAGAAGTTTGAGAGGAATAATTACCATAGACTCAAGTACATTTAATTTAGTGGTGATAATTGAGACGTAAGCTGATTCTCCTTACAGATATAAACTGAATGTAGGACAACATAACTCATGAACAGAGTGCAGAGCCATTGTATTTTCACACACAGAAGATTTTTCCCTTTATAGTCTTCTACCCCTAACATCACAGGCAAAGTATTTTTAATAGGTGCTACATAAAATAGAGCACAAATTTAAAAAAAATAGGACACACATTTTCCTCCTTGCTCGTGGAAAATATTTGGAAAATGACACCTGGCTTTCATTTCCTCTGGAATGCAGTGAGAGACTTTGCCTTGAGCTAGAAGCTTGGAAAATCTTTATAGCCCTCCACGAGATTAAAAAGATCATAGGGAAGGATGCTGAGCAATATAAAACAGAGCTTCACAGAAGTTGGGGAAGTTTGCAGACTTCCTCACACTGAAGGATTTGGACCTGTTTCTGAATTATTTTTTCCAAATACAGCATATTCATCAAGACTTCCAAGGAAAATCTTACATATTTCTTCTGTGTTGGAAATATACTTGAGATCTAGAATTAGTCGTTCTTGAAATCCAAAATCAGACAAAGAACGAGAAAGAGGGGTCTGTCTTTTTGGTATACACAGACAGTACTGAAGCTCTAAAGAGAGAGCATTTACAAAAGACATGATTGCCTGAAGCCTGCATCTACTAAATGCTGCTTCTGCTGCAATGGCTGAGGCTCAGCAATGCTTCTTGTACAATGTTTACTTGCTGAGCTGAGGAACACCATCCAGAACTGAGGAGCCTTAACGGCTGGAATGCAACTGTACCTCAAGATTCAGATCATGAGAAGTTAACAACTAATCAGATACTGGCTGCAAGACAGAACATAAAGAGCCATTTTGAGTTGGGATTTGATCCAGCTGGATCTGTTACCTTTGCTCAGGAGAGCAGCATGTCCTGGCCCAGCACTGTGTGGCACATACAAGCCCACATGGCTCTGTGCACACATGTGCACAGGGTGTGCAGCATTTCCATGCTCCTCTGGCTGGTCCTAGAAAGCTCTGATGCTGCAAAAAGATATTGCTGTTGTGTCCGTGGGCTACAGAGAACAATATGTAACCCTTGTGAACCTTGGCAGCATGTACCCAGCAGTGAAGCAGCTTAGCCACACTGAGAAAATTTGATTTTGGTCTTACAAAATGCTCCACAGACTAACAACTAGAGTATGTTTGGTGCATTCATAGTGCTGCTAATACAAACAGAAAGGCCCAGTAAAATGTGAAGGAGCCACAAAACCGCAAAGGTTTCAGGTAACCCACAGCTGGTGGGGAATTACTGTTCTGAGGGACTGTTAAACCCTGTTACAAAAGGAGGGTGGGAGGGCAGGAACTGTGGGTGGGGAAGGTGGTGTGACTCTGCTGGGAGAATTATCACCAGAGATTTTGCCAACACTTAAATCAGGTTGGGAACTGCTGCCTAATTTTAGAGCCAGCGGCACAGACAGGCATGTGCCCCTTCATTTCCTTGGTGCCCCATGTGGTACCTCTGTAGCCTTAAATTATAAAAGCTTTTTCAAATATAGTTTTGCATTTCAGAGCCTGAAATTATGTGAGGGCTGTATCATTGCCCATCAGAGTGTCTTTTTGTTTCATTTTGGTTGCCTTTTTGTTTTTGTAACATGATGTGGGTGTGGCATATGGGAACGCGGTTTAGTGGTGGACCTGGCAAGGCTGGTTTAACAGTCGGACTGGATGGTGGTAGAGGTCTTTTCCAACCTAATTGATTCTATGATTCTGTGACATTGGAGGAGTCAATGTCATAGAATCATAGGAACTCCTCATAGAATAGAGGAGTTGCTGGTTTGATGGTGCAGTAGGAGGACCTGGAGGGCATTTGTGAGGACAGAGGCTGCTGGAGAACTCTGCAGGCTGGAGGGACCTACACCTCACACAGTCTTGTCTGTGCAGCTTGTGGGAAGGGCTGGCTGGCACAGGGTGTCCTCAAAGCACTCCTGAGCTCGGGTTCAGAGCATGCTGACTTGCACTGCCCTGAACCACAGAAATATAAGGTGTAGTTTCAGTGGTGTAAGGCTGATCAGACTTGTGCTCAGAACTGGTCCTTGTTCCCTTTAGGGTAAACATGGAGTCTGAGTGCCTCCGAAATTTTGTGTTGCTGTTCCTCAGAGGCTGTGGTTTTGTTTTTTTCCTTGTCCCCATTCTTGCCTGGCCTAGTACCACATGTTGTGCTGTGACCGAACAGAGTGCATGGAAACCAAAGCAGGCACTTCCAGGAGAAAGCTGCCTCTCTCTGCATCTCACCAAGAAAGGCATGTGCCATACTTATAAACCAGGCCTTGCTGCTCTGGTGCTGTGTTTGCTTAACCACTGAAGATGGATGTGTGCCTGCCAGAAACCTTATCCGAAATGCACCCCAGATCACTGCTCTCTGATGAACATTTTGCTGGAAAAAAACCCAAAAATACAGAGCTTCCTATCTGCTCTCAAATACAAAGGAAATGAGACTGTTCTTAAAACTATTACCTGCTCTTCATAGAAATTGCTTGCTTGTGTCTTTTAACTATTTAATAATATATTAATTAAAAATAAAATATTGCAAAAGAGCACCAGACCCATGGAAGTTCCTTATGCGCTTAAACACAAAACAAGGCTTTTTCCAGATGTATAAGCTCTACCTATGCTAAATGCCTGCTGAGAACTTCACAGGGCTTTTACTGGTTTCAAGATTGAATGGAAGAAGTCTGGGAGATCTTCTGGCTTACAAAGGTATGGAGAACCTGGAACAAAATCTACCTCCTGGGGTAAAACCCTTTCAGTGGAATGGCAAAAGGGGGTGAGGGGGCAGCTGTACTGAGCCACAGCTAAGGCACATCTTTGTTCAATTACATGGTAAGTTTAAAATACTGAAGCTGTTTTAATTTTGGTGTTTCGTTGTTTTGTTGTTTATTTTTGTTTGGTTTTTTTTGGTTTTTTTTTTATCAGTTAAAAATGGTTAACAATAATGAAATGCATCAGCTTCCCATTACTTTGATGTGCTGGGTCTTTTGTTTTTCATGACAGATAGCAGCTCCAGCTGGGGTAAACAGAGGAGAGCGATGGACTAGCCAAAAAAATGAAATTAATAGCTCACCTATTGGATGCCTTGGCTCAGAAACAGAGATAAGTAGGGGGAAAAAATATGTGTTCTTCCCTATGATTACACCATACCTTAGCATGGGAAGCTTGCTATCTGGGGACTAGAATTCCTGCTTGCTATCCTACTTTTCTTCTCCTTTTACACTGAAACACATTGTTCATGCCTTACTTAAGTTTCAGATTCCATTAAAAATGAGTAATGCTGCAGGACTTTTTTTCCTGGTATCTTCATCCAGAAAGAATTGGCAAATAGAGTATGGTTGGTTAATGTGTTGTAAAAAAGATTGTGGAGACCACAAAGTGCTGTAGGAAGTATATAACATTATCTTTGGCTACAGGGACCACCCAAGCATCATAAATCTATTCTGTTGGTATCTGCAAATCTACTTGCACATGGCTGTAGTTAACTCACAGATGCACCTCATGCACTGCTCACTGCTCCCCATTCCTGTCTCACAGAATTATTTCATGTGAGCAGTCTGGCTTAAAGGTCCCCCTGCCCTTTGGTTTAGTACCTTGGAGTAGATAACACTTGGGTAATAATGGCAAATGACAAAGTTGTTGTACACACAAAAGTATACCAGATGGAATCCTGTTTAATTATATTTAAAGATTTTATTAGATTAAATACATAATTTTAAAAGTTCAGAGGAAAATCATTAATTTAAAACATATTAATACATTTCCAGAGGGATGAGTTAAGTTATAATTGTCTGCAATTCATTGAGGCAAATGTCATTTTTCTCTTCCTGCTTTTAGTAGAGAGGGAAGCAGTTTTGTTTTATTTCCACTTTGTTCTAGGCTTAGGGTGGTGATTGGGGCTTGTGTCACTGTGGGTTCATATTTCTTAAAATCTCTGGAAATTTCTGCAGACTCTCTCTCTGGTTTGATTTTGAAGGAAGGTGTTCTCCTACAAAGAGAATGCATCATCAGAAAATCAGGTATAATCTAGAGGAGTTTAAGTCTGTATATGTAAGGACTCATTAAGTGCCTAGCTCAGCATCAAAACTCTGCCCAGCTGTGCGATGAGGATTTCACATCATAGCCTTTAAGGTTTGTACAGACTCCAAATGCAAGAAAAATTATTTAAACAGGCCAGGTTTCTGAATTTGGCTGTAGCTGTCTTTTCCTTGCCTGTGTCTCCCCTGAGCCTCCTTTCCCCAGTCTCAACAGCCTCAGCCCCCTCAGCCTCTCCTGGCAGGACTTGTTCTCCAGACCCTTCTCCAGCTTCATTGTTCTCCCCTGGACACCATCCAACTTTCTTGAAGTGAGCAGTCCAGAACTGAACAAAGCACTCAAGGTGTTTCCTCACCAGTGCCAAGTACAAGGGGACAATCAGTGCCTTGCTCCTGCTGGCCACGTTCCTTTTGTGACATTAGTGACAGAGGAGCAGGACTGTTGGACCTCAGGGCAGTCTCTCTGTAGGTGGCTGCTACCTGAGCACAAAGAGCACTGACATCTGTTCAGCTTTGCAGCACAAAGCCCATACCTCAGCAGTGAGCCTTTGCTGCTTAGTCTTTCAGCAGAGTCCCTGTCTGGAAAACCCCACGCTCTTTTCTGGGAGGTCTCTGTGTTTGAAAGGAAAGTTTGCGCCATCACTGTAGAATGGGATCTGTTACCATGTCCTACAGAGTAAAAAAAAAAAAACCAAAACAAAGAAAAAGTAACATTAGAAGTAGAGTTTGCCACTTCTGGTCCATAACTATTTTCTCTGACCATCATAGTTATAATTATGCTATGGCTTCCTTCCCAGTAAGCCACTATGTGGAGAGATGTCCAGAAGAGATCTAGATCAGAAGAAAAGCTGTTGATCGAGATCCAAAGCAGCTCCTTAATAAAAGGACAAATACCACACCCCTAGCAGAGAATAACCTGATGTTGGCCACAGTACAACTGCAAGACGGCTTTGCAAGTCACCCTGGACATTCCTCTGCCTGGTCACTACATCACAGGTAGGAGGTGACTTGTCTATTGCTTTCTAACAGAGGCAAAAAGGATGGCTCAAAATGCCCCAAACTGAGGACATCTTGTCATTCTCTTCTCTTTCTCTTACCATCACTTGCTAAAAGCACAGCTAATTCTTGAAGGAAATGAGAACATACCTATATTATTCTGTAGTGATTGCAGCCAGTCCTCCATCAGTGTCTGAGAAGGTGCTGCAAGGAAATACTCTGCCCCATCTCTCAGCCTGTAAATAAGGATAGGAAAAGGTGAATTCTAGTCAGTTTTGCCTTATACCTTCTGTGTTTGTGAGTGTGAGACACTCCAGTTATGCCTCCTAACAACATACAGCCTTGGGTGCCTGTGGGCAGGGTGCTGCACGGGCTTTTGTTTGTGCCCTTCTCCATAAGACTCACCGCAGCATGAAGGCGTTCTCCTTCCTGCTGTAATTCACCAGCCTCTCACATTTGGCACCAGAAATGCTGAGGGACAGGACTGTGGATATGTTCTGAAGGGGGATAAAATTAAAATGAAATGTCTTCTGCGTCCTTTCTGCTAGGATTCAATTCCATACCAGCCGGCAGGCAGACTACACACCCATCTCTTTATGCTTCTAACTTTAATCCTAGGATCACTGAATAGGGTGAACCACAGAGGAACCATGGACAATTGCATTATATCTTGAAGGCAATCCTTGAATAAGATATGCCTTAAAAGAAGTATCTTTGAAAATTTCTGGAAGCTTGTCAGTCTGTTTTCAGTTGTATCGGTTGAATAATTGCTGAATTTTCACTCAGCTCACATTTGAAAGGGAACAGATCACCCCAGCCCCAAACCAAATGTGACATTTAAAAATTCATTTTTACATATGTAGACACAAAGTTTGCTAGAAAGATTAAAAAACCAACTTACCTTAGTTGCTTCTTTGTCATCATCATAGAAATCAAGCTTTAATCCATCAAGTTTTACATAGAAGGATTTCCAAGACCTTGAGTGTGGCTATATGAATAGAAAAGGTAATAAAATTCAGTTGTGAGGTATATATTTTATAGGAAAATCTTATAGTGAAATCTTTCACATGCACCTTTCATAGGAAGCCAGGATCTGTTGATATTATGATCACAGAAGTTCTCACAGTCATTGTTATCTCTTAGAAAAACAGGACCTGCTATGGTTTCTGTGTGAGTGATTCAAGAAAGGGTCTTTATGTGTCAGAACTGAAGAAACGACATAATCTGGTTCAAGCAAACTCTATACCATGTGGTCAGCAACATTG